TGTTTTGTTCTTTTAAATTATTCTGTTAACGCCATTTTAAGAAAATCAGCTTAAGAGAAATTAGTCAGAATTTTAAAGATGGCTAATGTAACATTTCATGTTATCAAGGGACAGCACTAGAAACTATGGATGTAGCAGAAAAGAAGGGAAGACATGACATCATCATGTCTACACATGAAGCCACACAGTTCACAGTCACGTAGTCAGTCAGTTTTGAGTTTTTGGTGATGATTTCTAGAACACAGTTTTTCCTACTGATCACAGAAAATTAAAACAGGACAAATAAGTGAAGCAATGAACCATTCTTGCTACTGAAATAGGATGAAATAACTGAAGTTTTGAATTTTGGGAGCACTTACCACTGTGCAGTTTAATCTAGTTTAAGTTAAGCTGCCCCTTTACACTATTCCTCTTCCTGTCCTTCCTGCTGGCCTGTGTGCATGGCTGTCAGGTGAATCACACCAGTGTATGGATCTCGATGAGACTTTCTTTTCTCTGCATTACTTTTCAACTGGATCCAATTTCCTGGTCTGACTAACTTCACAGCTTTAAACACTTGCAGAACTGAGACAACAGAGCGGCCAAGGGGAGGAACTGCTTACAGTAAATGCTGATGTCAACAGGCATTTACATTAAACAATAGTTAGCAGAGCCCTGGCTCAAGCTTCCTGGGCACTGATTGTTGGTACCACTTTTTGGGAATAGTATTGTGGGATCTAGCTACCCCAGGTAAACTTGGCATAAAATTCCTCAAGTCTCTTCAACAATTTCTGAATATCTTTCCAGAGTTTCAGTTCTGTGCCTCTGACTTAAATACACCATGGACATGTAACAGCTGAAGGAAGTACTCTGCAGCCTTTGTAGAGGTGTTGCACAACCACTTACACTAGAGTGATAGATTCTTACCCCAAAATATGCCTCTATTCTTTTCCTCTCCTCAGTGCCCCCACCGTCCTTTTCCTGACTTCAATTAGTGTTTTCAGGGATCACAGGTATAACTACAAAGCACTGCATAACTAGCTCAGTTTTCTCCTCACAAAATCTCCTCTGAATGCTAGAACATGCAATCTGTCTGTCAAAAGATCTGTCGGGAAAAACATTCTTTCAGTATGTCCCCCTATGAAAGTGTCCATTTTGCTTTTCACATCTTCTGTCTTTGCTCCTTTGGAGACTCCAAGCTCTGCACCAACATGGGGAGGTTGGATCCCGTTGACTGAAGCCTGACTTACTGGCAGCAGCTCTTCTAGAGTCCACTGTGCCTTCTTGCCCTTATACTGTGGATGTGTATGACACAATGGCAGACACAGTATACATTGAAGCATTTAATGATGCAGTTTTATTAAAGAAGTGTTACCCAAGTAAGTGCTTGAAGTTTGCACACACAATGATTTTATGTATTATAGTAGCATATAGGCATATTAATACAATAATTATTTAAATATATACATAAACATAAATTAAAAGGTACATATGCAATAATTTTAATTAGTGTTGAACTATATAGTATCTATTCCAGGGAGAAATTAAATGCTGTCCATAGCATTTTCTTTATGTAGCCCTTTATAGCCCTTACATGACCCTCCTCCCTCATTATGGTTTCTGAACATCTTAAAAGCTTGAAAACACTGTTGCAATGTCCTGTAAAGTGTGACTGCTCCACTTCTGCAGATTGGGAAGTGAGTTACTTGGAAGTAGTTTACTAAAGACTTAAAAAGCAAGGAAGAGACTTGATAGGAGGTCTCAGATTCTGGCTATAACCATTCAGTGGTGGTTTCTAGAGAAATGGCTAGCAATGACACAAAAAACTTGGCTCCTACTTGAGACAATCAGTAGGGAAAAACTTGCTTGAATGTTTGGATGTCATGTGTGATTTTAAGAATAGCTTTCATAGATAGTATGCAAATTTCAGCTGCTAGAAGACACTTCTGGTTTTGCTCCTGGGCAATGCTACAGAGAAAAATCTGAAGTGTGCTTAATGCCCCCAGTTGAACAATGAGTGTAAAATTAGTATAAAAGGTCAGTTGGAATAGTACACAATGATCTTGAAATTGATTTTCACCTGTAATTTATGTTGATTTCGACCCATATTAACAGATTGAAGTTAATGGAGTTACCCTAGTTTGGACTACCTTGGTTAAAAAGTACATAGAGATAAAGATGTATATGTACATACATTTTCTTCAGTACTGCCTGAAAGGAGTTCTGCGCTTGTAATGTGCCTTGTTCTGATTTTGTACATTAAATACAATAGTACAGATAATAGTTCCTTCCCACTGCCTGGATAAAGATGTATTAGAACAGACAGCTCAAAGATTTTGTTTACAAAGTGTTGAATATAGATGATATATTTACCTGCTCACTAATTTCTTGGACTGTTTTATAGCAGTGATTGCTATTGTGACTTCTGCACATAAGGATCTGTCTGTTAGTCTCCAAACTAGATGATTTCTTACAAATTCAGAATGTTTTAGAACTTGCACAAAAATTTCAGAAGGGCCAAACCAACTTTGGCATTTTCAAAAGTGACTTAGTGGCCTAAATGCTACTGCTGTACAGTAAGATGCAGAGTCCAAAGTCACATAATCTTAACTTCCAGCTTGTGTTAACTCTGTAACTGTATTGACCATGTTCCTCTACTTGATGCTCAGTGATCTAGCTGATCCATAACAGAGCCCTTGTGCAAAAGATTTCACTTGGCAATGATGATAATAAGGTGGAAAACCTTGAAGCCCTTTACAATCCCCTTCAACTATTTTGCTCTTTAAATACATAAACATATTAATTTCCCTTGATTTTGTTCTATACATGCTGTATGAATTGCTTTGTATTGGCTTCTTCCAAGGAGTGTCTTCATTCACCTCTTTTCAGTTTTCAGTTGTCATGGGTCAGGTTCCGCTTTCTGTGCCACAAGCTTTGTTATCCCTGAACTTTTTATATTCCTCTGTGTCAAAGGGTTGGCTTCTAGGACCAGCTGTAAACCATTAGTCCAACTGTTTGACCACAATTTAACAAAGCTGGAGATTGAATTAAATTCTCTGGACTTTCTAGGTATGGCAGCAGCAGGGCTGATTCTGGAGAGCACAATTTAACACAATTCAGCACATACTTCGATAAAACCAAATGTAATTCTTTTCAATGGATGCATGGAGTATTTTCAGTCTCGGCTTTGTACTAAGTAGTGAGTTTGAGCATACTTCATGAGTAGCTAGTGAACAATCCAGGAGACAAAGGGATTTCTTTATCATTGCTCTTGCCTCAAACTGTTCTAAATAATACTAGAAAAATATTATTTTTTTAATTATTCCTGACAACAAAGTGCAGGTAGTATTTTGAATAAGCCTTTGACAAATATTCATCCCTAATATGACTTCTAAAATATTTAATTTAATTTATAGCAATGCTAATGCACTGACAACCATACTTTTCTTTTTCTGTGAGAAATGTCTTAGATTCACATTGCAGACTTGCTTATTGTGTTTTAGAGAGTGTTTGCCTCTGTCATGCATTACTGATTGGATACACAATGGCACTCATTTCTCTTCAGTCTATACTACACAGGCCACCATGTCCCCAGTTATTTTCACAGTACTACGTTAGGTGCAAATAACAAAGCCAACTTTTAAGTTGCAATAATGGAGTTACAGCCAGGAAAATACAAAATATCACATCCCTGTAGATATTTAATTTGTCTGTTCTTTATGCTCAGTGTACCGAGTCCACAAACATGCAACAGAATTATTAGCTGCAGAATAATTAGTACCATGTCTGATGTATTTCTTTATGCATACATTGTTTTCCTGTTTGTTCTAATACCAGAGCCATAACCATTTAGAGTTCTTGTTCAAATGATCCCAGCAACAGGTGGCGTTACCAGTCCACGTGCTGATCAATTAATGCAGGGCAATTGGCAGAAATGCTCCTGGTGCTGGGTGAGAACACATTTAAAAACAGATACTAAAAATTAATTATTCATTTTAAACATTCTTCCAGACCTATGCAACATAAGGAGGGTGAGGTTTAAGCAGCTTATATGAAAATTTTTGTAAAAGCAAATGCATTCAGAAGCCATTTTACATTAAAATCTCACCAAATCAATCTCAAGATTCCAGTGTCTATTTTTAATGTTTTTCTTCCAGTCACACAATTGTGCTGTCCCTAGAGTAAACACATTTACCTAATATGAGTTATCCCACTGGAATAATTTGTGCGAATAAAGTTTAGCATGTCAAGGGCTGCAGGCTTAGGTCAAAAGCATGGAAAATTTCCAGCATCAGAAACAAAAGAACGTGTTCATGGAATAAAAACTGGGAAATGTTTAATCATTTTAAGTCAACAGAGACACACCTAGTCCTGTAAAAGATGGAGATCTGACTCTAAAAACTTTTTTTAGACTGTGCCCAAGCCTCTGGAGAGATTTACCTTGTAAAGTTCCCTGAAATTCTGCTTGGCCAATTGTCTAAGTTAAAGACTTGGTGGGAACACACAGTTTCTGTCTGGCTCGTGTGCCAAGGTCCCCCTTCTGCAGAATGAAACATAGGATGCAGGAGGCAAGGGGGAATGGGATGACAAATACTCTAGTTGTTGTCCCATTATAATACTGAGTTTATATATAATATAATTATATATAATACAAAGGAACAAACATGGCTGTGGAAGCAGAAAAAATTCCTGGGTTCTGTGTTGTGATAATTTATTTACTTCCTGCGGTCATCTGGAACAATGATTTGTGATTGCTTTTGCCTATGAAAGAATTACAACTGAGGCAATGAAGCCCTTGGATTTTAAAGGGAAGAAGAAAGAAATTATGGAGTACCAGAACACCGAAAAGACTGAAGTGCAAAATGAATGTTTCCACCTTCTGTTTTATCAAAGATCCAAATTGCATCCAGTGTCTCATAGTCTTGAAGTTTGAAATGAAAAGTGAAAAAAACCACATTTATGGAAATAATGAAAATAGAGCTTGTGACTGAACATACTTCATGGCCATATTTCAAGGCCATTTAATGGCTTTGAACATATTTACATAAATAGACAGGACACATCCGTATTTAATCTACAGTCTTGAAGTTATACTGGTTTGATTGGTTAGTGTGTTAGCTTCCCAACCACATCTGATCTTTTTTATCCTCTTCCTAAAACATGGGAGGAGCAGTATGCATTTACAAAACAGAACTACGACAGGAAGAAAAACTGCTACCATAAATGAAGGTGGTGTATACCAGATAAATTGGTTAACATCAACCCACTTATTCCAAGCAAACACCAGTGCATGAACAGTGCAGAGCAGAAGAGCTAAATATCCCATCTTGCTCTGAAAAGAGAAAGAAAATAGTAAAGTATTTATGTTTTCCAACTTGGCAAAAAGAATACTCTGTTAAGCAAATACAGAAAACAGGAAGGGCCTCAACCAACACACTTAAGTCAAAGAAAAGAGACTATTGGCTTCGAACTAAAATTTAAGAATTATGATTAAAAAAATCTAACTATACCCCTCTATGCCACTCTAAGAGAAAAGAGATGTGGCACATTTTTCAACTACTGCTATGATATTTAGCTAAAATACAGAAGAGATCACAGGTTACATGCTATTCTTGAAAAAGGGTACTTTTCAATATCTCCATCTGTAGATGTCATCTGTATCCTAAATAAATTTATTTCTTTAAATAATTATTATTAGTTAAAAAGCAGATTTATAAATGGTTTAATAGATTGTTTGCAAATAAAAAAATTAAGGTCAATTAATCTCAGAAACTGTAGAATGTCTACTACTATGACAGAAGCAATTGCACAACAACAGGAAACTCAAGTCTTCCATTCCACTTAGAGTGATAAACTTGGCTTAGGATGTCTATGAAATTCAGGAGGAAAGGAAATTTTATGCTAGGGTTACCAGAAATTTTGAGTTTCTTGTTGCATAACAATCTTGATAAGGTTAGAAAAATGGAATTAGTCATCAGTGAAGTAAAACACTGCCTTTCCAAGTGCTACATCTACAGATTCTGATTTACAAGTATAAAGGTTATTTGTTTCTAAACCTAACCCAATATATCAGTATTACTCTTCTGGGTTTCTTCACCATGCTAATTTCATACTGAAAACAATAATGCACTAGAGCTGTCCATGTAGATTCTCTGTAGTGCTGAAATCTTTTCTTACAAACAATGCAGTTCACAGAGTGGGCAGATTCTCAAATCACAGATTGAAGGAAGAGATACATTTCAGATCCACTTTTCAAATTCATATTGAATTTTCAAATGCCAGGTACTTAGTGGGGCACTGAATTTTCAGATTTTGGTGTTCAGGGACCTAATTCAACACTTGCTTAAGTCTAATGTGATCATACTGATGTCAGCAGAACCACCCTTGATTGTTACTGCTTATAATCCAGCAGAACTAAAAGCAAACCAGATACTTAGATGAACAAAACAATCACATCTGTAGCAAACTCATAACTGGCTGGATTTGATTATGCATCTGTTTTAAGATGTCTCCTTTTCAGAAGAAGAACCTTTTTGGAGGGACTTATGAAGCTAATAATGCTGCAGATGGAAAACCTTTGTACGTATTATTGAGCAGAAGCCTTCTCTTGGATTTCCCAGCCACCTGGTACTGCTCAGGCAGTGAAGAATTGCCAAAACAGCTCCAAGGGAGCAACAAACAATTCTCCTTGTGTAGTGGAATCCCATGTTGTATGGGAACACTTGCTCCCAATTCAGCTGGACACAGGGCATTCCTAAAACATAAGATGTGCAGATGACTGAAATGCATTCAGCACCAGAGGTCTTTCACCTAACAGTAGGTTCTGAAGGGACCACTGCTGCTGGTCACCACATCAGAGGAGCAGAAAAGTAGTTTGCACTTGTTTTCCCACTTCATACCCTGAACCTAACAGCCTTTTCTCCTGACAAAATAATGAATGAGACAAACATTTCTTGCAAAGCAATTATTGAAGAGTATGGAACAAGCTTTTAGATTAGTTTCACTAACACCTCTGTGTTTGATATTTCTAACTCCTAATGGTCTTATTTGATAACATACAGTACTACAAATGAGGACTAATGACATGCAATAATGACATTTATGCATACCTGAATGTAATGAAACTCTCTCCAGGTCAAAGAATGACTGACAGATGGAATTGATGTTATTGCCAACAAGGCCAGCAAAGCAAGTCCCAGAATTCCTAGAGACACATAAATCTCCATTCTCCAAACATCATGTTCAATCCAGGCATTTTCTTTTTTCTGTTTGACCTGCCAAAAGAACAGCATACTTAAAATGACAGACAGTAACACTCAGCCATTTGTGTGAAATACAGCTATTTTCACAGGAAATCAGCCAAGAAGCACAATATTTTTGTTTGTTTGAATGTCTCTCAATGTAACTGCTATTCACTCTGGATGACAAGGTTTCCACTACTATCTGCAGAGCAAAGGTGGGCTCTAAGTGAGAAGATTTTGGGCAGGGAGAGACTGGTTAGAGGCCTGTTAGCTTCCTTTCACAGCAGGAGAAATCTTGTTCTTTGACAAAAAAATTACATCTATGGCTAAATATCGTATCTGGGAGATTATAACAGCAGGAAATATATTAACAGGACTATTTTAGGAAGCTAATTCACCAGGCATTCTTAATAATAGTATCCTGCCAGGATAGTTATTTAGCTTTATGTTTTTAAAAACAAATTGGTACGTTCAGCTGCAGTGAATACGATGGTTGGTATGGATGAAAATGTTGTGATTTTAATAAACTGATGTCAAAGCTTCTCCTCTTTATGAGTAATTGCAACAGCCCTTTGATGCTTCTAGTGATCAGCATGGCATAACATGCCTCAAATATAATTTCTTCATCCTGAGGACTGGAACCTCAAGGAAGTTTCTGGTAATCCATTCAAGTCAGATTATCATAAGGCACACGTCAGAGTTTTCAACAGGTAGTTTGCTTACAGAATTCTTAAGAAGCTGCTAACATCATACTGTGCTTTTAATAAAACTCTAGATTAGACTTTGAGGGTAATAAATGTACATTTGTGGCCTATAACTTGTATTGGAATATTCCTTATACTGAAATATTCATGGCACTCAGGCAATTTGCAAGTATTAGGAACTGTCTAGTCACAGAGGATCTTAGAGAGCTTTACGAGCCAACTATTGCCTATGACACAGAAGAATGATTGAAAATCTATCTTTTTACAAGTTCGTGTGCATCAGCCCAATTGTGGAGCCATCAGTGTTCACAAATCTAGCTTCCAGCAAACAGAGATTATTATAATTTAGATCAGCCCTCCTTCATTGCTGGATAATTCACTTAACAAAGGATATGTCTAAAAATTGTGTGTGTGCAGTTTTTGTAGATTCCCCTAGAGTAGAAAAAATTAAAACATACTAAACTAACAGCGTGCCAAAGACTTAAAAGTTCCTCTGAGGCAGGTACAATTTTGTGCATTTTAGAGAGTGAAAAAATCCCAGATGAAGAAAATGACTTATTTAATACACACTAGCACAGCTGTGATGACTCTTGACTCTCTATTACCTGCCTTAAGAGCTATGTCCTGCTCCATCCCTTAACAGTGCTCTGTGAGTATCTTCATCAAAATGAAATTAAAGGCAATGAAAATGGCTTCCCCCCTCACCCATATTTACTTGAATGACAAAACCAAGGATTTTCTGAATACAGAAGTGTTGGCATTTGCATTATCACCATACCTGCTGGAATGCCCAGTTCAGCAGCTTGTATCTGTATGATCTTCTCATTGGATAGCATAAGCTATAGCAGGCGTGCATTGAGGCAAAGAAGAAACTGAGAAGTCCAAATTGCTTTCTTGATAACATCCATCTATCCAGCCACTGGGGAAACCTTTTATACTTGGTGCCAAAGTGTAGCTGGAAACCAGCAGCTAATATTCCTGGTAAATATACTAGTGCTAAAAGGGTAATTGAAACCACTGGTAAAACTTTGTTTATGACAAGGATTGGAATCTTATAGAAAACATTTTCCTTTCTGGTTATAAAAGGATATATGACATCTCTCATAGAAGTGTATATAAATGTTAATAAAGAGATCACAGAGGCTATCTTCATGGGCAAGTGCCACTTGGGGAACAGATCCTGCTTGCAGTGTTGTTCTGAAGGATGTTCAAACTCTCCAAAATGGTGTGCTTGATGTAAATTAAAAAGTGCAGCTACTTCTGGTGGATTGGTGTCTTGCATATCCACATTCTGCAAAGGACAGAAAGGAAATACCAAGTGAGTTCAAGAGAAGAGAAGGAACTTCAGTAGTGACGGTATTTGCCATAATGTGTTTCACCCTGTAATGCACTGAAACCATATACAAAACATACACACTATTAAAGACAAGGTAGCTTGAAAACATAAAGTTTCAAGCAGCATGGGCTGTAGTTGAGTAAGGCACTTTTAGCAGAGATTTCTCATTCATCATTCATTATCTGTGGTGATTTCAAAACAGATTTTTTTAGGAAATTAACTAAACTGCAAGGGAAGATAGATTACAGTATGTGAAGCATCATTACAGCTTCTTATGACATGAGCTACACATTTCAGATGTCAAATTTCAGCTGCAAACTTAAGGATGCATCCCAGATTATATGCACAGTAACAGAGTTGAGACAGTAAAATATTTAATTCAGTTGCTGCTATTTTAATGACATTTAATTGGGGGAATAAGGATGCCAGTAGAAATCTTTGGGATCCAGCATATTAGATCAGCTCAACATCTGTCAACTCTAGCATCAAGTCCTGTGATCTTATTTCTCTCCTTCACAACTGTAAGAGCATCCTCTTAAGTTTTATGAAAACTTGTGAAACTGAATCACTTCAGTTAAAAAAGCTGAATTTTCTGCTGCCAAGTAGACACGCGGGATTCTGTTGTCATCTGGTAAAATGCAACTAATAACTAACCTCATGTAACTTTTAGCTGGCCCAAATGGTGTGACTTTTAGCATGGACTATAATTAAATCGAATGAGATGCTCTTTATTTTTTATCTCTTCATGTCAACATTGCGACAAAGTATTGATGAAATGCCAGTGTGATGGGAACACAGTGTTTCTGGACAAAACTGAATGAAAGACTGCAATACTCTGTGTGACATATAAGCTGTTGTTTTACAGAAACATTACCAAGTTGCTAGGGTTTCCTGTGTTGTTTCTTGGCACGATGCTCTGACTTGCATTCTGATCAATGGGGTGATTATCACCTTCCCTCTTCTGCATTGCAGAAACTCCCTGCAAAACAAACACAGGATGTAAAACAGGTTTGTGCCTTACTGGAACTTTTAAGCCTATTTTCCCTCAAAATGTTTTCTTCCTTCTCCTCTGCTCATTTGCTGGCTAAGGTATGATAATCTAGGGAAAGGACAGTCTGTTCTCTGAGAACCAAAAAGCTCAGCTTGGTTTTTAAGTAAAGCAGTGACTAAGAGAGAATTTGAATCAACAGAACATAATCACTGAAGAAAAATAATAATTCAGCTAAATTTCATGTCACCGATGTAATTAATTAATTAATTCAGGATGAAAATATTTACATTAAAATAATAAAGTCTGAAATAGCTTAGAGAAATAACATGTAAAATGTTATGAAGCTGGAATTTATCAAGTTCACGCATGAGACTTGTTGAGGCAAGAAACTCCTGCAAATGTGTGGTTCCTAATACTTTTTAGGATTGGTCTACCTGACAGTTACTCTGTGGCTCTAGAGGTATAGTCTCTATCCAAGACTGTCAGGAAACTCCAGCTGGAGCTTCACTCATGCTGTTCTGAGGTTCATCTAATAATGCTTCTGAAATTCCTCAGATAGTGAGAAAATTAGTGCAAGGGCCCTGAAACAAGGACGTCCTGTGTGTGCATCACACTGTGGCACACTGCAGGAGAGGCACTAGCACCACACCACTGGAAGGAAGCTCAGGGTGCCACACCAGTGTGCTTTTCTTGTGGCTACATTTAAGACAGTGACTAGGTAGCTCCTCCATGTATCTTCCTACTGAACAGCTGAATTACTACATATTAACTTGTTTTATAACTACTGTTTCTTTCACACCCATAAATATTTTGGGAAATTGTATGGACAAACCAGACTTTTGACAGTTGTCCTTTTTTTACTGTTCCTGGTTCCTTCACTGGGTGAGTTCTCCGGTCTTGCACTGTTTGCTATGAGGGTTTGCTTTCTGCCAGGCCACCAGACTCCTGAAGCTGAAGTATTATTTTCCTAAGTATTTCTCTTTGGATTTTCCCTCCTGCTAGCAAGCTCTCTCTTTTGGCATAACTTTCAGCCAAGTGTTGCAGAGTAGGGTCAACAGGAGCTTCTGTCTGAAGGTCAGGCTGTTAACCCTTTCCTACACAAGCTAACGGATGGTTTGTCTGTCCTGCACACAAGAAAGCATGGGCTGATGAAGGCACATTTCTATTTCCCCCTGCTATTCCTAGGGCTAGTCCTAGTGATTTTATCACAAGTTTTGGGATATCAGATATCTTCATAAAACCTCAACCCCTGCAGTTTCATGATTAGTTAAGAATTTTTTTATTTTTTATTTTTAAATACACTGCATTTCTAGCTGTTGCAGTGGCAAAGAATAGTTTACAAACAGGATTCTGCATAATATACTTACCTGGAAAAATCTCAATAAATACAGTGAGCTCCAGATCTATTTTTAACAGAACTGAGAATATGAAGGGCAGCTACACTGTTTTTGAGGCCTACCCTCTGATTTGATGTGGAAAAAAAATGGATGTAAACTTACAGACTGGCTTTTTAAAAATCAGACTGACTCCTTAAACTTGTTAAAACAGCTTGTGGCTCAGATCTTTGCTGGTTTTTAATTTTTTTCTGTGCTGATTTCCACTGAGCTTTCAACTGTTAGTATCACCACTCTACATGAGCTTACACAGCGATCCCAGTCACTTCGTAACTCTCCTCTTCTGACCTCCACACTATCTTGGGGGTCCAAAAGCATATTTACATTGGGAAGCTCTGTGTGGAAGAGCTTGACTCACCTGATGCTCATGCTGTTATCACTCCTCATTTAGAAAATTTAGAAAGGAAGAGTCCAGTAATAGCTTCTAGCTAAAGAATTGTATTGAGGATGTACTAAGTTATATCATGATGTGAAAAAAAACCCATGAGCTAGAATGCCAGCTGCTGATCCTAAAAGCTGAATTATTGGTTCTTTTGGAAAACAGTGTTTAATACCATGTTAAATACAGCATTAATGGTTTACACAGCAGATGAAAAGTAAAGAATAAAAGTGTGTGAGTGAATGCATGTGCTCATCCATGGAAGTCTGATTACAGCCACGCGACTGCACGCAGGGGAGCACAGATGATGAACAATAGCAGTCCACTTGGCTTCTGATACCAGAGTTAAGACAAAATTATGTATTGGATAAGCCCAATAATAAAGCACAGTAATAGTTCTGGAAAAGCCTAGATACATGACAGCTACAATTCCACTGTTCAGTGCCTCAGGAACTGCCAGAAGGGAGTAATCTACAGCATGTGTCTTTTTGGAATAGATCAGAAGAAAAAAATTTAGGAGTCCTGTGGGAGACAGAAACTAATCGGTCACAGCCCTCAGTCACACTGTTATGAAAGAAATAGTTGCAGAAATGTCCATCCTCAGTGCACCCCCCTCCTTCTCTGGGAGGCAGCTGTGAATGAGCAGAGCATGTCCAGCTGAAGAAAGCCAAGTCTGCAATGCTGTGAGCACGCTACTGCTACCGAGAAAACGGGCTGAACCGACGGGGATCCGCACCGTGGGTGCATCACCCCGGGGCAACATCACCCCCAGCCAGCGAGGGGTTCTCCTGAGCAAGGGGTTTCAGGGCTGCCGCCACGAAAAAGAAAAATGGGTAAAATGAACAGGGTATGATAATGACGAGGCGATGGAAGAGGAGAGCGGCTGCATCCCTTTGCCACCATCGGAAAACGAGACGGTGCAAGTGCTAGAGAGAACTGTCTTGCGTTTAAAGCGCCTGCTGCTTCGGGCAGGGCGGTGCACGCACCATGGACACCAGTGAGGAACTTTCGCCACTCCTGAAGAATTCTGCTGAGCTCTGTGGAAAACCTAATGAAATCCCGGGGGGTTGGAGCAGGAGAGCGCTGCTCGGCGTTTCTCCTCGGCACCCGCCCGCTTCGCCCCGCTGCCCGGGACACGCCGGGAGAGGCCGGGCCCGCGGGGAGCCCGCGCCCGCCGGGCAGAACCGTCCCGTCCGGTCCCGTC